AGACCCCCCAGCCAGGCTTGAGGAGGCGGGCCAACCCTGATCCGTTTATTATCCCTGCATCTCACCTGTCCTCCAAGGATGGGTAAGGGTTCCACAAGGCCATTGGCTTCATCCCAGAGCCCATGTGGTCCCAGCCCCTTGTGGATGAGGTCTGCTCCTTGAACACTCCAGCGGGTGCCTGCCTCTCCCGCCCCCAGGCTCCCTGCGGGAAGGGGTTCCTATGGCACCCCTTCCCCCGCACACACTTAGCTCACTGGCAGCCATCTGCCCTGAGATGGTGGCAGCAGATGCCTTGAGGCACAGCGGTGCCTGAAACATAGTCGGCCCGGTGCCCAGCCGAACCTGCGTGTTGCCCGTCAGGGCAGGGGCTGTGGTTCCCCGAATGCTTCGGTGCCAGGGATACGTCTTCCACGGTGAGGTCAGGCAGGCCAAGACACTCAGGTGGCCTGCCAGGGCTGGGGCAGGGGTGTCTGTGAGATTTCAGTCCCCTCCGGCTGCAGCTTTGGAGAGGGGGTTGGTGAGCAGTGCCCTGAAATTCTTCAGCTTCCAGAGGCCCACAGTGTGTCGGCCTCTCCTCCTGAGGCAGGCAGGCCCACAGTGTGCAAGCCTTTCTCCCAAGCTCCAGTCATGTCCCTCCTTAAGAAAGCCGCAGATGCCCCAAGTGTGAGCTGAGGCTTGTGGGGGAGGAACTGGAGGCCCAGAGCCTTCGTACACTGAGTTCACCCAGGAGTCTGGATTTGCAGGCCGAGGCCACTCTGGTCTCTCAGCCTTCTTCTCCACACCCCTCCTCCCTGACTTTTTCTTAGCACCAGTGGGGACAGGTGACAGTGCAGGGTTGGGACACTGTCCTGAACCTCCTCCCGAGGGGTAGGGGCCACAGCTCCCCGACCCATCTGCATTTCCAGGTCACACACTCAGTTGATTTATAGTCCTGTGGAGGGGGGGGGCTGCTGCTTAGCTTCATCTCTGCTAAGGATGCTTGAAAGCCCACACTTTGACTCAGCTCTGACTTCTCCAGCCTCGGGAACCAGGGTAACTCAAGGCGTGCCAGGCATGAACAGGGCCTTTGAAAGGGGCCGTGGGACCATGATGGCTCCAGAGCATGGTGGTACACACACGTAATTGGGCGGGGGTGGGGGGAGAGGCTGAGGCAGGAGTTCCAGGCCACAGGGGAGACCCTGTGCCAGTAAACAATGAAGCGATGAAAACAGAAGACACTAACTCGTTAAGCCTGGAGCCCTCTGGATTGGTTGGATGTTAAGACTGTCAGGACTGACTGCTAAAAGAACATTCCCTAAGACCTGCTCATTTGTGGGGCCGCAGACCTCTGGCATGTTCGTGGCCTGTAGCCCAGGGTTCAGCGTGAGAGACAGAAATGGAGTGTGCAGGCCTGCCCGGGGCAGTGGACGGACAGCCTGATCCCTCGGAACCCCACAGTGGAGACAACAGGAGGCTCTGAAGCCCTCGTCCCTGCAGGGCGAGTGTGCAGACGCAGAGGCACATGCAGGCCAGGCTCGCACGCCTCCAGGCCGCCTCTGCTCTCCTGCAATCTTTTATTTGTTTTGCTTCAGCAGGGCTCGAATGGGGACACGCTGCACTCTCCCAACTAGCAGCTCCCTCCAGCACCCCCCACGGAGGTGCCATATGTCAGTGTCATGGGTAGGCATGAGGCTCGGGGGCTGGGAAGTGGCAGCTGCCAATCACCGGTTGCTGAGTAGACCGGGGAGTTGGCTGGGCAGCAGCTTGGACAAAGCCGTGGAGTGTGGTGGGTCAGTGTGTGGGCAGCTCATCTGCGAGTGGGCACGCCTCGGCAGCCAGAGGGCCTTTTGCTGAAAGCAAAGCCAAACCCCGCCCACTGCCCCATAGGTACAGGCAAGCGATGGCACGGAGATGCCGGAGTCCTGAATCCTCTCTCTTGGTGGCTTATGCCGGCTGAGTGGCTTGCGCACTTCCTCCAGGACGACTGTCTCCCACTCCCAGGACACCTATCCTGGCCTCCCGGAGTCAGGGGCCAAGCCTGCATCTGCCAGAGCAAGGGAGGGAACCAGATGTAGCTGTAGTTGTGGTGGGTCACGCTTGTTCCTGTGTCACAGATGGGGAAAGCAGGTCCAGAAAGTTTCAGGGACCATCTTCAAAGCCTTGTGAGTTGCTAAGGAGCAGAACCGGGGGGATTCTGCAGATAGCTGCCGGTGTGCTGCCAAGGGTCCCACGTGCCATGTGTGCTGCAGCCCGTCCCTGGGCTGCTCTCGGCCCCCCCCCCCCCGCCCCCGCCGCCCAGTGCTGTTTCTGGGGTTCATTCACCTCTTTGTCCTGCAGCTGTGATTTACTCCTTTGCTTCCTGTTGTCATCTTTGTTTCCTGCAGTCACGAGTCATGCCACAGACATCTGGCTATGCGGTCATCCCTCCCCAGCAGGGGTTCTAACCCAACCATTGGTCCCCGCAGCTGTGACCCCTTTCACGCATGTGACCGCGGTATGAATGAAGTGACAGAGCCTGTGCCAGCGGGGTAGAGATGGCGGCAAGGCTCTGCCCACTCTAGCCCCCCACCCCCCGCAGGATCTTTTCCTTCATTCCCAGCCCTGCTGGAGGCTGAATATGGATTGGATTGACTGCTTCAGGTTAATTGGCTCTCTCTCCTGCCAGCATGACGGATCCTGCATGACATTTCCCCAGATAGTTAATTGATACCCAAGTAATTTGTCATGGAGACCTCGTTATATGCCAAGTGGGTCCCCTAAGCTGTTAGCGGCTGTGCCCCAGAAATAAGATTGGCAAGTTAATAATGGGGCCTTAATCATACTGTGCCTCGCCCGCAGAGGAGGAACTGACTGGGAGATAGGATGGTGTTTTCCAGGGACCTTGGAGACCAAGCTGCATGGGATCCCAAGGCCTCAGTCTCCTTGTACCGGGTACCCACTTTGGGAAACGGAGCTTTGATTTTCCGTTGAGAAGTCTCTTCTCCCAAGATAAGCTAAGGTGCATCTAGCCCTTGGTTCTGGCTGACCTTTGATGTCTCATGCTCCAGGACATACAGTATGGCTCGGGCTGAACGGCTTAGCCAGCAGTGCTTGGGGCTTCTGCTGCAGCTGTCGGGGGGGGGGGGGGGAGGGCCTCATCTGCCTGGGGGCACCAAATGCGGGAGAAGTGTGGGCTTCTGAAGCCTGTAAGGCCCCATATGGGAGAAGCTGGTGGAGATTTGGCGTCTGTGATGATAAGGACCACCTAGACCAGGGGTTCTCAAACTTCCTAATGCTGCCACCCTTTGGTACAGCTCCTCACGTTGTGGTGACCTCCAAACATGAGGTTATTTTTTTCTTTCTGGTTTTTCCAGACAGGGTTTCTCTGTATTGCTTTGGAGGCTGTCCTGGAACTCACTGTGTAGGCCAGGCTGGCCTCGAACTCACAGAGATCCACCTGCTTCTGCCTCCCGAGTGCTGGAATGAAATGCGTGCGCCAGCGCTATCCAGCTTACATTTCTTTTTCTTTGAGCCTCTCCAGTGTTTTGTTACAGTTGTGAAAGCTGAGCAGCTAAGGTGACCTTAGTTCCACAAAATCACCAGGGGGATCTAGCTGACAGACACAGGACGTTACAGATACTTTGACACCATGGTGCTCGTGTGCCTTAGAAACAAAACTACTGCCGCTATGGTAACTATTTTGGAGTGTGGGTGAGGGCTGGGGATCAAACCCATGCCAGGCAGGTGCTCTACCACGGAGCTGTACCCCGCCTAGGGTACAAAAACTCTCATGGTAGTTTAATAAGAAGAATGGGCCTCGGGGCTGGAGAGATGGCTCAGAGGTTAAGAGCACTACCTATTCTTCCAGAGGTCCTGAGTTCAATTTCCAGCAACCACACGGTGGCTCACAACCATCTGTAATGAGATCTGGCGCCCTCTTCTGACGTGCAGGCAGACATGGAGGCAAAGTATTGTATACATAATAAATAAAATCTTAAAAAAAGAAAGGGCCTCGTTCCAGATTCCCCTGCCACAGGGCCATCAGGGGTTTCTGAGGGGAAAGGGTGGGCTTCTCAAAGGGTCTTGCGCAGCATTAAAACATGAACTTTGGTAAGATGGGGGCCTGGGAGGAAACGGCTCTGTATCGCTCATCTCTTTTGGCAAACCGGTTTCTTTGCCATCAGAGGTTCGCTATATCATGTTTTTGAGGGATGGGAGACCAAGAGCGGATGGGCTGGGGCTCTCTCTCTCTCTGAGGGTCTAGTGAGCTTATAATGATGGCAGCTGGGGGTGCTGTCATCCAGTCTTGAAAGGTAGAACAGACGTTTCCAAGATGATGTCCTCAGAGCAGCTTGTGACGAGGCAGCTGGAAATACATGAGACCCTAAGAGGGAGGGAGGGGAGGAGGGAGAAGGAAGAGAGGGAGGGGAGGAAAGGTAGAGAGAAAGTGAGAGAGAGACAGACAGAGAGAGACAGAGAGAGAGAGAGAGAGACAGAGACAGAGACAGAGACAGAGACAGAGAACAGAGAGCGCACCAGCCACACATGTTCTACAACCTAAAGTTGGGAAAGCTTGCTTTTGTCATCATTCAAGAGTCACACAACAGGTCTCGTTGCCAAGCAACTGTATAAATCCAGGAGGGTGGGCCACTCGGCTGTCCAGGAGAATTGCTACCAGAGCGACCAAGAAGTCAGGGTCACACATGGCCTTCTGATGTTAATGCTCCAGAAGGAGATGCATACTGTTTGGTTCCACTGCAGGGTTAGGGGAGGAATCAGTAATGGCTGCCCCCTTAAAGAAGGCAGTCATTAAGTCCAGGAGAGCAAGAGGGTTGTACAAGTAAAACAAATGTGATTATGATATGCGACTCAGCTGAGAATCCTGCTTGCAAGGACACAGGCTTACAGACGGTGGATTCTGATTCCATCGCAAAGAGATGTGTGGGAATGCAGCACGCATATGCGTGCGCGTGCGCATGCGCACATTCGCGGGCACATAAGCAACGGCTAACATAGGAGAACAGACGACAAACGCAGCGGTGAAGAAGTCAGCGGGCAATTTCTAAATCTGGAGGGCAGAAGGGAGCAACGTTTCATGCTCTGTAGCTGTAAACACCCAGGGTAAGAGCGCTCGCCACACAGTTCGGTTCCCAGCACTCAGGTCTGGCTCACAACTGGCTCACTCGTGGCTCCCGACAGCCTGTGACGCTGATGCCATGTCCTCTTCTAGCCCCTGAAGTACCACTGTACTTACATGCACACACCCACACACATAATTTAAAAACACTGCTTGAAGAATGAAGTAAATAACCAAAGAATATGCTAAAAATAAGTTTGCCTCTGGGAGGGACCCAGGCAAGGTAGGCACCGGCTTCTCGTGCAAGCCTTACAAGAATGTCCCAAACAGTGCAGACTTACGGCTTTGGCTAGAAAGAACACCATGGATGGAATTTAAACGTGTAAAGACAAACCCCAAGCTGGGGAGGATGTACCTCGGTTGGCAGTGTTTGTCTAGCATGCAGAGCCTTGGGTTTGATCCCAGAATTAGTGTGGTGGTGGCACAGACCTGTGACCCCACTGCTGGGGGGGGCAGTAAGATCAGAGGCTCCAGGTCATCCCACCTGTGCCAAGACCCTGTCCAACATGAAACAAAAAGCCCAACCCAAGCCCAGGCTGTATCCACAGCTCTCCACTGGGGCCTGGTGCGGGTCCCTGATGCCTGGAATCTGGACCCCTGCGCTTTACCTTCCCGTTTCCCAGAAGCCCGTCCAGGACCTGGTACAGCGGGTGCCTGCCAGGTGGGTGGGGAATGGGGAAGAGAGTTCTACTCTGTGACACCCGGCTGACAACCCCTTGGGCCATTCATCTGCATGTCAGCAGAGCCTCTATCCTGTGCCTCTGCTTTTAATTAATAATTAGGTAAAACTCCCTGCTGGGCCTGGTCAGGGTGGTACAGCAGGATCACTGGGCTGGGCTGCTGTGGGGGTGGGGGGTGGGCCAGGTGGGAGGTCCTCCACCTTACCATGTGACCCTCCCTGGCCTCCTCACCTTTGATACCAGATCTTCAGCTGACAGGTGGGAGAGGGGTGCCTTCAGCTGTCACTGGAGGGGAAGGCGGTCCAGGCTGATGCCTGCTGACTCTGGAGACATGAGACCCACCATCTCGCCACTGAGGAAGGAGGCACCGGGAGGCCGAGGGACTTGACCGGGCACACTCAGCATGCAAGAGCAGAGGCCTTGGAGCTCTCTCCAGATGCACTCACTAGGTCCCAGCCGCAGAAAAGTCCTTCAAGGACTCTTCTGAGGAGGAAGGGAAATACTCCCAGGGGACTGTGTAGCAGTCACTGGGGTCTAAGGAGCAGGAGCAGGTGAGCTCCCGATAGCCAAGAGACAGCAAATGGTTCTGGGGGGGTGTTGAGGGAGGGTCGAGGTTCCCCAACCTGACCTGCCTGGTACGTAGGTGGCGGCAGCTTGAGCCTCTCTCCCCAGGGTTGGCCTATGACCGGGTCACCGTGAGCCACTCCAGCCTGGCAGTGTCCACCATTCCCGGTTGCCACGTGAACAGAAAATGTGGCAACTGGGGTCCTGAGTGACCAGAGGCCAGGCTAGATTACCTCCTCCTGGGAGCCTCTTCTCCCAGCTGCTGGACAGGGGTGGGGATGCTGGGAAGGGGCTCAGAGGCTGCAGATGGATATGGAAATCTATTTGGACCTGACTTGAATTATTAAGAGGGCCGAGAATATTCTTAGCTCTGGAGAGCTGTGGTCTGCTGAGATGGACATCGCCGTGGTCCTATTTTTAAGGTTCTGTGGGAAGGAGCCGAGACGCCACTGCACTTAGGCCCCCTGCCCTCCAGCATTGGTGTCTGGCCATCCCACCTCAGACAGACCCACGCTCCATCGCCTCCGCTCCTTCAGCTTGCTCCTGCAGCCAAGCCCAGGGAGCTCTGGCCTGGAGAAGCAGTTGAGGGGTAGGGCCCCACACCAGTCCACTGATGTGGCAGGTATCACGGCACCGGCCTGCACACCAAGCATGCAGTGGCCCTGCACTGTCCCCAAGCCTGGTTGCTGCCCCCTGCACTAAACTTCTTGGAGGCATAGACCCACCCCAAACCACCTCAGCCACCTTTCGGGCCCTGAGAACCACATGCTGTCCTGAGCCCGCACACTTCTGCTCCATCCTAAGGCCACGGTAGAGCAGGGCTCGCTCCTAGCAGCATCTGGGAGCGCCGTGGCGGGTGGCTTGGGGACAGGTAGGGAAGGCTGCGATGCAGACAGAGGTAGTGGCGGCCTCCTCTCAATTTCTAACTCTTGTGGGTCCTGGGCAAGGAACCTCTGCTCCCACTCCTGCCAAGTCATCCGAGGAAGCCACCAAAGAAACCATGGCTGGCCGAGGCAACAGACACGGGTTGGCCAAAGGCAGGACTCAAAGTGGGGCTATTTCTAGCCATCTCAGGGGCAGAAAAAGAAAATAGCAATGAATTAGACTCAAGATTAACTCCTTGAGACACACATTCCCATCACTAAAATCCCAAAGAGCTTGAAACTCAACTACAAATAGCCCAATCGCAGACACACACACACACACACACACACACACACACACACACACACACACACAGAGAGAGAGAGAGAGAGAGAGAGAGAGAGAGAGAGAGAGAGAGAGAGAGAGAGAGAGAGAGAGAGAGAGAGAGAGAACAAAGGATGTGAATAGATACAAAAGTGGCCTAGGAGAAGGCAAATAAATAAACTCCCACCAGGTCCTTTCCAACTCATTGGACGGCCAGACTCCAAAGACACACAAGCCTGGAGGGCGTGGGGATAAGCTCTTGGGGGTGGTGGCAGGGCTGCGGAAGGGGACTGCTCCTGTGGGAAACACAGGGTCACCGTAGGACCTGGCACTGGCCCTCCCAGGCCTACACCCACAAGAGCTGAGGACAGTTACAAGGCGCCCAGCACGCAGGATCTCTAGCGCAGGCACAAGGTGAGCACCTGGGAGACAACCGGACAAGCCAAGTGCACCGCTCTATGCAGGGACAGAACTCAGTCACCAGAGGAGAAGCGATGACGCGTGGGATCCCACAAAGGAGCCTGGACCAGGCTCACCCTCACGCGCACACAGCGTGGGATGGCCGGGCTGTTTCTCGTGGAGAAGGGTGGGGACTGCAGGCTAACAGCACGGCCCCCTTTGGATCATGAAAACGTGCTGAGGCAAACAAGGTAATGGCTGCACGAGATGATGGATCTTCTGTCTGCTTGTGACAAAGCCTCTGGCCTATGCTGTCAGGCTGGCCTTGAACCCAGGCCCAGTGATCCTCGGGTCTCAAGCTCCCCAGAAGCCGGGCCCACACATACCGCTGTGCAAACTGGACTGCGAATATTCCACAAAGGCTGACAAGTTGTACTTTAATGACCGAGAGGATTTAAATCACATAAGAGTTGTCTACAAGTCCACCTTCAGGCTCTGGCCTGCACCTCCCCGTGTGGCTGCACAGGCAGTCCGGAGAGCCCCCCACCCTGGGGGCACGGCTACCCTCACCATGGCTTGCTCAGAGGAGTGTGGGAAGGTGCCAAGCTGAGTGTGCTGGGCAGGTGAGGTGTGACCTGTGCGTGTCCTGTTGGAGGGGAGCAGATGGGACAGAGGAGTGGCCAGGCGGGGTCCCCAGCCACACTCTGGTGGCTCACAGGAGCGGGAGGAACTGCCTGCCCAAGGGAGGTGTGGATGGGGGACTGTACAAGCTGGTTTCCTCATCTGTGAGGCTGGCCTTAAAGACGGAGGGCCTTGGCCTCTGGAGCCCCACGACTCTATGACCCACCAGCTTTCCTTCACCCAAGGATGCTGTGTCCGGGCCGTGCGAAGCTCTCATCCATTCCTCCTCCTGGCACCTTCCAGCTGCATGGGAGGCTGGACAGGCCTCATTCCCCCCTTGACAGCTGAGCTTGGCATGAGGGTTCTGGCCACTGCAGCTCAGCCTCAACCCACTGCTTCCAAACCCCCAGAACCCACAACTCTGTCTTGACAGGGCTCGAGGAGGGAGAAACCTGGACAACCTTAGGAAGACAGATGGTGGGGCCAGCTGCAGGCTCTCCAGCACTTGGCTTCCACAGGATGTGTGTGTGTGTTTGTGCGTGCATGCACGCACATGCATGTGTATGTTCATGTGTGTACACGTATGTATGTGTATGCAAATGTGTGCGTGTGCATGTACAGTGTTTGTGAGGGGTGGGGGAAGGCCAGTGGGGGCTGTACCTCTTGGAGACCTGCTAGTCTGGGGCACTCTGTCAGATCCAAGGTACTAGCTTGGGACTCTGACTCAGCAAGCAGGTGGAATGAGGCCACAGCTTCAGGCTGGGGTGTTTCCTGGTCAAGCTCACACTTCCCTTCCCGTACGCCCACTATGGGGGGCGGGGATGTGGGCACCGCAGAGATGACCTTCCTCCTCAGACAGGGTGGGTGTCCCTGTTGCCTCCTCTCTGTCCCACAGTTCATTTGCTGGGAACTTACTGGGTGGCAGGACCACATGTGTGTCTTTCCTAATGCCCCAAACTGACATCCCCGGCCGTGGGACCCAGCTGCCAGCCCGTCAGACTGCAGCAGCAGCAGCCCTACCCCCGGGCCTTGACAGTCACGACAGCCTGGCTTAGCAGGGACTCTGCAGCCTAGCTGAATCTAAAGGGGGTTGGCCATCACAGGAAAGCTGTCCCCGACGTCCTCCCTCCATCCCTAGCCCTCGGTCCACCCTGACCCCCATCCCACGGTGTCCACAGGCTTTGCCCACCACCTGACGACTCTCCTCCAGGGACTCTGGGGACACGTTACAGGTGTCTCACCCCAGCTGCCACTCTGGTGCACCTGTGTGTGTGTGTGGGGGGGAGGACAGGGTACGGGAGCCACGCTGCTGGGGGAGCCACCTCTGTGGCCTGCCTCAGCACCACTTCAGGCGCACCCAGAGAAGAAGCCACCGGCCTAGAACAGACCCGCCTTCTTAGCAGGATGGGATTTTGACGCTCCCTCTGGTGAGAGGGTGGCAGGGAGAGGAGTGAGGAGCCGAGCCTGGGGCTTTCTCACCACCGGCCTCAACTGGCTTCCCATCTGGCATCCTCTGTGGAGCTGACTCCCCGACGCCCACTCCTCAGCCTGCTCCAGGCTTGAGGCTTTCCCACTGCAGGTCCCCCAGGCTCAGCAGCAGGCAAGCCTAAGCCCGACTTGGCTATGCCCACCGAAGGACAATCTGAGGCCAGGATGGTGATGTAACAGTGACCCCTGAGGACAGAGGAGCGAAACCAGAGCCAGGTCTGTGTTGGGGGGGGGGAAGGTCAGAGCTGCAGATGCTGGCACAGGACCTCAGGACCTCTGGGAGCCCGTGTGTCCTCTGGGTGCTTATGTTGTTTACTGGTCTGGAATGTGGTCCTTCTGGGGCACAGTGACTACACTGGCCGGTCAGTGATAGAGGAGGCTAGGCAACCATTGGCCCAAGCCAGACCATGCCTGTTGCATCCTGCTGGGGTTCAGGCCACTGTTGCCTCCAAGGCCCAATGCTCTACCTGTGGCATGGGTGAGATTCCCACAGCTCTTAGAGATCCTCTTCCCGGGGCGGTGACTGTACCCAGACTGGAGAAGGAGGCCAGAGGTCTGAGTCTTCATGATGTCCACTTCCCTCTGACTGCTGGTCCTTCTGCTGCTCCTGGAAGCCCGGCTGGGGGTCTTTCAGGTCTGTGCTGGAGTCTCTGCCACAGTCCTCGGGGAGGCTGCAGGGACCTGCAGGTGCTCCGGGACATGCTTTTGGCCTCTGCTCCTTCTGCCTCCTGGTAATGACACCAAGAAACAGGTAACATAAAAGACCAGGTGTGTCAGAAGTCCCCTTGCTCTCCAGGGTCTGTGGAAGGCCCGATGAAGGGCCCAGTCTAGAGGGACAGGCAGATAGTCATCAACTAAACAGGCCACTCACTCACCCTCAGGCTAACCAAGCTCAGCTGTGAAGCTGCGGGTAGGGCCACCCGCCCATTCCCTCACTTCTCAAACGGCTTCATGGGTCCAGGAACAGCCACCAGCTACCAGGGGAAAAAACATGACAAGGGCGCCCTTCACCACTCAGGACAGGGCTATTGTCGTCACCTGGGCAGTGAGGAGCACTGGAGGCAGGGACCAAAACTGAAGCTGCCAGACGCCCCGTGCCTCAGTCTCCTCATCTGTGGAGTGGGATCACAGTACCTGTTCCTTGACAAGGCTTCCCCGAGGCCTGTTCTAGTAATAAGGAATTCACGACAGCCCTGTGTCCCTAGCTGGGTCTGCCGGCTAACAACAGTCTCACTCTTGAACAGAACCAGGTCTGACTCTAAAAGACTGTATCTTTTCTGAGCAGACCTGGCCTGGGCCCCTGGACAGGCAAAATGGACCAGGAAAGGTTAGGCAGCTGTACTGAATAGTTTCATGTCAACTTGACACAAGTTAGAGTCTTCTGAAAGGAGGGGACTCGGTTGAGGAATGCTCCCTTAAGAGCTAGCTGTAGGACATTTTGGCTGGTGGTCCTGGGTTCTGTAAGAAAGCAGACTGAGCAAGCCATGAGGAGCAAGCCCGTGAGCGGCTCCCTCCAGGTGAAGCAGGTTCCTGCCCTGCTTGAGTTCCCGCTGTGACTTCCTCAACGATGAACTGTGATGTGGGAGTGTGAGCCGGGAGTGAGAGCCGGGGGTGAGAGCCGGGAGTGTGAGCCAGGAGTGTGAGCCGGGAGTGAGAGCCGGGGGTGTGAGCCGGGAGTGTGAGCCGGGGGTGAGAGCCGGGGGTGAGAGCCGGGAGTGAGAGCCGGGAGTGTGAGCCGGGAGTGTGAGCCGGGAGTGTGAGCCGGGAGTGAGAGCCGGGGGTGAGAGCCGGGAGTGAGAGCCGGGAGTGTGAGCCGGGAGTGTGAGCCGGGAGTGAGAGCCGAAGAGTGTGAGCCGGGGGTGTGAGCCGGGAGTGTGAGCCGGGAGTGAGAGCCGGGAGTGTGAGCCGGGAGTGTGAGCCTTTGCTCCTAACTTGCTTTTGGCATGGTGTTTCCTCACAGCAACAGAAACCTAGGACAGCAGCCATGTTTGGAGGTAGGCCTTGGGACAACTGAGGCCATAGGAGTGGGGTCTCTTGAGGGTTCCCACTAGGTTTGAAGTCTATTCTCCAAGGGACCTCTTCCTATGTCCCCTGCCAAGCCTGGTCTCACAACCCTACATCAAGGGCAGATTGGGCTCACACAGTCACTGGGCTCACACAGACTGGGCTCACACAGTCACTGAGGACATCCTTCCCACATCAAGGGCAGACTGGGCTCACTGAGGACACCCTTCCCCCACTCACCTCTCCTGCCTTTGTGCAGGAGACCCAGGGTGTCCTAGAGTCCTTCGGATGTGCTCTCGGGAGCGGATGTCAGCCTGAAAGACACACTCAGCTGTGGCCAGGCCCTGGGCATATGTCCCCATCCCCAGCCGCTGGGGAGCACTTCAGCCCTTCCAGAGGCAGCCCCCACACACCCAGGACAGAAATGCCGAGACCCTCCTAGCTCCTCCCAGCATCAGCTGACGGGCAGGTGAAACCTGGGCCCAGAGCTCCTGCTTCTCCATGCTGCTTAGCCCTCTTCTGACTCATAGCCCAGGTGTCTGTCTTCTCTGTCTGTCCCTCTGATGGGTGTCAGCTGTGACACTTGCCCATCCTCAGAAAGTCTGACAAGTCGCCACAGGTATGGACACAGAGCGGGACTCAGACCTGAATGTGCCCCGCCACCTGTAAGGGTGTGGCCTCAGGAAGTCCCCTGTCCCAGCTCGGATGGACTTAGCTTAGCTTTGGGACCACATGGCCTACAGATAGCAACAGCTAACCCTGCAGACAGAGTCTCTTCAGCCAAGGGAAGTAGGCTGTGGGCAGTGGGACGGCCTGATGGGCAGAGCCTGGACCCAGTACAAGGAGCACAGCAGAGCCTGGAACCAATAGTCCTACCGGGTTACGGCAGAGTCTGGGTATGAACCGGAGAAGGGGGAAGACCCCAGAGACCGGCGCGGACCTCTTCTTGGAGAACTCTGGGGAGGTGGAATTGCTGGGGGGGGGGATCTCTGCTGAGAGGCCAGTGGAAAGGAGAGAAGCCAAGAGCCACGGCCAGTCCTTCTGGGCAGGGACAAGCCTTATTCCCTTCCTTCTGGCCAGCCTGGGCTCCCAGGGTAGCAGCCATGTGCTGGCTCTGTGTGCGTGCGCCCTGGGCGGGGCAACCTCTCCCATGCAGACATGCCCTGGCTTCTGGTATTCTGCTAGGGCAGAAACCCGGGAAAAACCACGGCCAATAGAGCTGAGGCCGGCACAGTGGGTCTGAGGCGGCGAGTTCTCTCATTAGACCACCGAGAGGGAAGGGGAAAGGCTTCCTGGGCTAGGGGCGCGACTCACAGGTTTAAGAGCCCACTGCTGCTGTAACCAAAGTGACACCCCGGGCGAGGGAGGGCTGGGGTGAGCCAGGGGGAAGAGGGCCCTTCCTGAGGGATGCCAACAGCTCACTTATCTTTGGAGGCCACCCTCTGGGCAGCCTTTCCAGGAGCAGGGCTGAGCACCACAGGCCACTGCCGCCACCTGGAGGCCATCCCGTGCATCTGCAGCTCTGCTGTTCTCCCTTAGCTAGGCAGAGACAGAGGCACTCGCTCTGGGCAGCAGGGTCCAGCCTGCGGCCATGGCCTCCTTCACACCTCCCAGAGACCTCACACCTCCTGAGTGTGCGGAGCTGTGGTCCCACAGCTGATGCGGACAGGAACTGCTCCAAGTCCCTTGCTGGTGGGGTTTCCACCTCACCGCTCTGACTGGGTGGATTGAATGTATCCCATTCCTCCTGAGCGGGGCTTTTGCCTTTCTAGAGCCCGTCTGTCCTCCTACCCTCCTCTAAGAAGTGGCTTTTCCAATCAGGAGGTGGTGTTGCACCTTTAATCTCAGCACCCTGGAGGCAGGGCCAGGCCTCTGTGAGTTACAGGACAGCAGAGTCACACAGAGAAACCCTGTCTCAAAAAAAGGGGGGGAGGGGGCCCGCTTTTCCTGGGTCCTCAGCCTCCAGGCCGCTGTTGCCAGGCACCAGCGTGTGAGGGTTATACAGACAGGTGACCTGCACACGCCCGCATCTCAGTCACGTGTTTCTTCCCCGAGGGCTGAGACGAGGGAGTTATCAGAGTGCTGAGCCTCTGGGGCCCTGAAGAGCAGCGTGGGTGATGGGGGAGCCCAGCCCTGAGATCGTTCCTAATTGGTGTCCTTGGCACCAGCACAAGCCTCCTCAATGTAACCACCGGCCCCCCTGAGACGTGCTGGCTTTGGACAGCCAGGCTGCGCTGCTGCTCCAGGTGCAGGAGGCTTAGCAAGGCAGACGCAGGCACAGTAGTGAGAATTCCCAAGCGAAGCAACCTCTGCTCTGCAGTGCCCAGTCAGCTCCACCAGGCTCTCTAGCCTGGGGAACCTGTCCTCAGATCCCTGCAGAGACCCACCCCAAGTGAGACTGGGTGGCAGTGTCAATCCCCCCCCCCCCCCGCCCCCGCCCCATACCTGGCGTATGGGCTCTGGGATCCGGAACCTACAGCAGAGGTGGGTCAGGCGCACAGCGACCTCCAGGCTTATTCTGTGGCCCACAGAGACATAGAGGGGCTTGGTGCTGTGGTCATGGCTCTTCAGGGCCTGTGGGTGAGGGAGGGCACGCTCGGCTGGGGCACATTCCAGGGTGGCAGGAAGGAGTTCACAGCCATCTCCAGGTGGCGCACGGGGCGAGTGTAACCCGAGGAGCGTGTGGCGCAGCGTACTCTGGTTGGTGGGAGGGTACGTGGAGGACAGGGTCCAGCCTGCATTCATGCATGTGGTTGGGTGGTTTGGTGGTCGGGACACAGCCTTTGGGCCACTCACCATTCCCAGGACAGTCCCAGAGTCGCCCATCAGAGGAAACGTGTCTCCCCCAGCCTGAAGGAGCACTATCTGAGAAACAGAGAGAACAACTATACAAACACCTCTTTGAAGATGTGTACAGCAGGCATGCCAGGGCACACTTTTGCTCTCAGCACGAGACAGAGGGCAGATCTGTGGGCTCGGGGCCTGTCTCTGCCAGGCTGGAGTACGCCACCCTCAGGAACACTGCTCGCCTTCTTTGTCTCCTATTGGCCTGGAGCTCACCGAGGACCCCCTTCTCCCTCTCCCGTGCTGGGATAACAAGCTGGGGCCACCAGGCTCCACGCTTTTCATGTGGGTAATGGGAATCGATCTCAAGCCTTTGTGTTCAAGACAAGCACTTTGCTGCCCGAGCCACCCCCGACCCACTGTCCCTTCTGGAATGGCTGAAGGCAAAGCGTCCTTCTTTAAAAGGTGGTATTTTAGGATTATACATATGCGTGTAAGTCTGTGTGGGCGTGTGAGTGCAGTTGCCATGGAGGCCAGGGGCATCAGACTGCTGGGAGCTGGAGTTACATCTGGTTGTCACAGGTGCTGGGAACCCAACTTGTGTCCTCTGCAAGAGCAGAACATTTTTTTTTTTCAAGACATGATTTCTCTGTGTAGCCCTGGCTGTCCTGAAACTTGCTCTGTAGACCAGGCTGGCCTTGAACTCATAGAGATCTGCCTGCCTCTGCCTTCCGGGTGCTGGAGTTAAAGGAGTGTGCCACCAACGCCCCATCTGAGCAGTACATATTTTTAGCCATTGAGCCATCTCTCCAGCCCAGAAAACTTCATTCTAGAAAATCTAAGCCGTGAGGAGAGGGCCTCACTCTGTCTAGGAACTTCCCCCCAGCAAGGCTACACCTCAGAGGCGTTAATGAGTTTATGTTGCCGACTGCGCTAAGGCCATGGCGTGAGGTTCACCTACCCTGGTAACTGGGGCTTGGAGAAGGGGTTGTGGTTTGCCAAGGCTCTAAACAGCAGATGGACCACACAGGTGCCACTGGGCACAGCAGTGCATGACCAGGCCAAAGCTACCACCTCCTGGATGCTTCTCTCCAGCAAGGGATCTGATGCAAGTCAACTCACAGCCCTCTTCTTTTGGGGGAGGGAGGATCAGTGCATCCAGAGACCAGGTTGCCCCGAGTAGGACCTGGGCTTCCCCTGCTCCACCAGCTCCATGGGTGTTGATAACTCACTCTCTACACAGGCTCCTGAGAGCCAGGAAGGAGGTGGCGGGTCTCTGCTCTTGGAACTTGCCCAACGGGATAAACATTGTGTCAATGGCTTCCTCTGGATGAGGATAGCCCATCCACAATGCCAGTTCCCGGGGTGGAGAATGATGACGTGGAGGCCAAGCAAAGGGCAGAGTCAGGCACCACAGTAAGCTGACCACAGGCTGACTGTGCAGGTCAGTGTGCAGGCGTCTGCACTGGCTTGTCCTGGAGGTTCTGACAGGATTTGCCCTCAGCTGCAGCCATTGAGAGCACCACCTGTGCACATTCACTATGTTCCCTTTTAAAAGGGACCTCCCCACCTCCCATCCCTCCCTCCCTCACCCCTCTCCCCCTTCCTCCCTCTCCTCTGCTGCTCCTGTCTCTGGAAGCTGATCTCCCCCCTTCCCTTCCCCCTTTTATGATCCCTTTCCCTAATTAAAAAAAAAACAAACAACTCTGCTTGCACCCCGTCTTTCTCTGATGCACCATGGGAGGTGGCGGTCAGGGTGAGATGGTGAACCCGGAAAGCTGTCCCCAGGCACTGTAGAGCATGGCCCTCCATGAGTGCTGCCATGGCAGAGGCAGGAAAAAGGGGACACAAACATGGTGGGAGGGTCCCAGGGCCGAGAGCCACTGCTCGATGAACTGCCCACAGGCACATGGAAGGACCAGGGAAAGATGGTTTTTTTTTCCGGGCAAGAAACCAGGGGAGCGAGGTCTGTGCTAGCAGGCCAGGCTGGATCTGAGGGGCCCCAGAGGTGGCCAAGCCATGGGCCCCAGAGCTAACACGGGTGCACCCTGGTTGAGTCACAGGGAGTCCAAGGCTCTCCTCACCTTCTCCTTGTGCAGGGAGTTGTTCTCCAGACCATCCACCTGCAGGAGCTTCTTGGCCACCCCGATGCAGGGCAGATCTGTAAGGACACCAAGGTGGCAGGCCACCCCAAAGCCTGCGAGGGAGCAAAGGGAGTGAGCTGGGTGGTGGGGATGGGGTAGGGAACCAACCAGACTCTCTCATCCACGGGGACAGACTCTTGGTGGGAGCCAGGCTGGCGGGACTATGAACAAGGCCCTCTGTGCTGACCTCTCGGGCGTTAAGAGCGGGGTGTAGGAAGCAGCCTTCCTCTGACAGGATGGGCAAGTCTGGCGTACCCTCACGGCTCCCTCTTCTATCTGCTGCTGTCTTCAGGCCTCAGCATCTGTCCCCTATGCTCTGGGCCTTGTCAGGTGGCCTGGACTGCAACGGTTAGAGACATACGCCCAGGAGTGGCTTGCTGGCCCAGAACTGGTGGGCAGAGTAGCACATGTCTATCCTTTGGCTCTGGGCCCATGGTTTCCAGCCAGACCGACCCCTATCATTCCTGCTGGCTAGGAAGACAACACCTCCTTCGTGCTCCACTTGGGAGTGACACTGTACCCTCCTTCAGGCCATGGTGTCGTGGCAAGGACAGGGACAAGGCCTGACTGATAGCTCAGGGCTGGTGTGGGAGTGGAGCTAACCTGAGCTCAGTTCTGTGACTCTCTATGATCACGTGGTCACCCTAAATGAGGTGCTGGGGATGGGCCAGTGCAGGGTACCGTGGGAGGCAAGGGGTGGTCAGAAAGAGGTGGAGAACACCCTACTCTCCCACAGCGTCTTCTCTGATCCTCTTCTAGGATTACCTCGTTGGTGAAGCACCCCGTTTCCATCCACAAGAAGGACCTATAGACCACAGGGGAGTCAGTCAGTCAGCTGGGCCGTTCCCGGGGCAGCAAGAAGGGGAGATGGCTGCGGATGGCTCTCATTCCCTCCTCCTATGGGCGGCAGTGGCCTGAGGGGACCCTGCTCCCGAGCAGAAACAAGCACAGGGGTTCTCCTAACCTTTGGAGATACCTACCTGGGGCATGAGGCCAGGCTCCTTCTCTTGCAACCGCTGTACCAGCTCCACCAGGAAGGGTACCTCTCGGAAGGCCAGGAAGCCCGACACATAAGGGGCCTGCAGGCGAACCATGTGGCTGTCCTCATACACCACCTGCCAGCAAGGCCCCAGGTACAGGTCAGACGCTGGCTGCAACCACCTGTTCTACCCGTCCCTGCCTCCCGCCTGTGGCTCTCACGTCAGCCTCACCTGTGGCCAGGCTGAGACCAGGTTTGACGGACAGGACGGAATGATTTGCCTGCAACTGGGTGGTGGGGAGTTGAGGTGAATTTCATCTTACAGGTAACTTGTTTGGGACCTGGTATGGATGAGGAAGCCCCAAGATCCAGTGTACACAAGGGTGTCCTTAGTGTCTAGTGTACACAGGGGTGTCCTTAGTGTCTAGTGCACACAGGGGTGCCCTTAGGGTCTAGTGTACACAGGGGTGTCCTTAGTGTCTAGTGCACACAGGGGTGCCCTTAGTGTCTAGTGCACACAGGGGTGCCCTTAGTGTCTAGTGCACACAGGGGTGTCCTTAGTGTCTAGTTAGTGTCTAGTGTACACAGGGGTGCCCTTAGGGTCTAGTGCATATGAGGCGCAACATCACCCCAAGTCTCAGCTCCTTCAGGAGCTTGGCTGAGGTGATAGTCAGACTCAGGCCTCCCTGCCCCTCCTCTGCCTGGCTCCTTCCTTGTCAGTGTGAGCTGACCACCTGCATGGGTGCTGGAGGCTTAGAGTAGAAGCCCCTGAGAAAGTAGGCTGTGAACCTGGGCGGTACTGTGTGCAGCTCAGAAGGACCATGAGGGAAAGCCAGGCAGGCAGGACAGGAATGCCTTCAGAGCAGGTAAGCTGCAAGCAAAACAGAGTCCCAAAAAATTGGGGTGGGGGGGGGGGGACTCAGGAAGACAAACTCATGGTGCACACAGCACAAGGCGGCAAACTCCTGACTGTGTACCGGGCCTCCATCAGGCACACTTGCATGCTGAGGAGACCCACTCCTACTGTGTTCATGTTCTCCAGAACCCTCTCCTGCCCGGGCTCTTGAGGAGAGCTCCCAGATCACAATTCCCATGGACCCTTGCGGCTGGATCTGTACCTAAGTACACCTAGCAATCTGGCCACTGGGTGCTGGGGCTCTGACTCCTAACATTTTCACCAATGACTCACGAAGAAAGCTCTCAAGGCTGCCAATAACTTCAAATGGGGCATTCACTCAGAATCTGACTCAGACAGCAACAGATGAGACCACTACAGAAAATCACAGCTGGTCAAAATGCAGGGATGTAGATCCCAGTCCCAACAGAAAGATACATACTAGATACCATAGATACCAACCGATAGATACATATATAGGCAGATACATAGATAGATACACAGATAGATAGGTACATAGATAGATACATAGATAGATAGATACATAGATAGAAACATATATAGATAGATATATAGATAGATGATAGGGATAGATACATACGTAGATACATAGATAGAAACATATATATAGATAGATACATAGAAACAGATATATATAGATACATAGATGATAGGTAGAGACATAGATACATACAGAGATAGATAGATGATGGTGGATAGAGAGACAGACAGACAGACAGACAGACAGCTGCAGCACACTCCTGCACCTGAGGCCCTGGGACCACTATGGAAGAGGGGGTGGAAAGACTGTGAGAGCCAGAGGACAAGCAGTCTGCTATGAGACTGTGTCTCTTAGAAATGCCATGAAATCTCACCGTCGTTGCTGCCTAAGTGACCTGAACACGGTCGGCACCGACAGACGTGCTAACTTGGACAGGGGAGAGCTCAGGAGGCCTCAACTTAGACAGAGAACTGCAGGCAACTGAGGAGTGCTGAGAGCACGAGAAACAGTCTTCCCCAGGTTAAATAAACGGCCAAGCCTGAATTCAGATACACACAAGCAACGTTAGGCAGAGCGGGGTGGATGGGTATATGGGAGGGCCTGAAGGGAGGAGAGCAAAAGGGGAAATTCTGTAATTATACTGTAATATCACAAATTAAAAATGCCAATGCTAACAGTGCCTTAAGCTGCACTTAGACTAATAAGTGTGGACATGAGATTGATCCATGACCCTAATTGCACCGGGGTGAACTATACTGCTGGGGCCACAGCAAATGAGGCAGAGAAGCTAGCGTGGACTTCAGGATAGAGCAGACAGGAAGGAGCCAACAGGAGAAGGGCGGGGACACCCCTTCCTTCTGTGCATTGCTGTCTGGGTGACAAACATTAGAGACTCTCTTCTTCCCGTGGAGAGGGACACACTGGTGCAGATGGCCAGCTATGGGCAGAGCCATCCCATCAGGCGGCCGCCTGTCAAGGACGCTGCGGGAAGAATTCCTGACTGTAAAGGTAGACCACTAATTCTCCAACCATGCTTTGCTTATGGGAAACCTACTGCGGGAGCCAGCTTTCGCCAGGAATGGGCTGTGGCTCTGGAACTCTGTTTAGCAGTTTTACTATGATACACTTTACGCTTTACAAAACTCATTTGTCAAGTGTGTAATTCAATGAGTTTTGGTGTTTCCACTATCATTATAATCTAGTTTTAAATATTTTATTATTTTTGTTGTATGAGTGTTTTGTCTGCATGTCTGTAAACACACCATGTATGTGCTGCTCATGAAGGTCAGGAGAGGTCATGGGATCCCTAGAACTGGAATTACAGAAGGCTGTGAGATGCTGTGTGGGTGCCGAGTACCGAACCTGGGTTCTCTGTAATAGCAACTGCTCTAAACTGCTGAGCAATCTCTCCAGCCCCGTAACGTACGTTCAGAACATTTCCTGCACCCCAAAAATTAGCCTGGCCACCCTATCCAAACCATGCTCTGCTTTAGTGTGACGATCAACTTTGGTTAGATTCAGAATTTCTTAAGAGGGGTCAGAGAGATAACGGTTCAGAGCACTGGCTGCTCTTCCGGAGGTCCTGGGTTCAATTCTCAGCACCCACATGGAGGCACAACCACAACTTTCTATAACTCCAGTTCCAGGAAATCACAAACACAGGTGTGTGTACCATCATGCCCAGCAGGAAGTCTTAAGAAGGCCTGTGATTGGATGACACCTACTTCTTACAAAAAACAAAACAAAAAAAAAACTCTTATCCATGAAGACCAAGGAACCACAGTAGAGGCAAGAAGCCTATGAAGAAACTGGTCAGCAGCCTACAGGAGGGACGACTGACGACTGAGGGGAGGCAAGCAGGGGAGCCGATTCCAGCAACATTTAACGGGTAGAAGACACGGAATTGGGAGGAAAGACGGGGAGTATTGTCTGGGGGAAGAATATGAACAAGGAACAATAAAAGACATGAATGAGGAGAACAATGGAAAACATTCTTTATTTTAGCTCAAAAGTTAAAAATAACTTTAAGAACGGAGCTAGTGCGAGACAAGGTTGAAAGCAGGAGATCTAGGAAGGCTGAAGACTTCCTGCTCGGGCAACCCGTGGTTATGTGCTGTCGGCCACTGAGGTGAGCCAACCAAGACAACCAGGCTTAGAATCGTCTGCTGGTCCTTTAAGAAATATTTAATTTGTTATTTGTGTAGCTTTGTTATGGGTTTGTGGGGGTTTATGCCCACCACATGCATGCTGGTGCCCACAGGGGCCAGAAGCCAGCACAGATCTTCTGAAGCTGGAGTTAAACGCAGCTGGGGGCAGCCTGATGGGGGAGTTGGAACCGAACCTGGGTCCTCTGCAACAACAGCATTTGCTCCTAGCCATTGAGCTGTCACACCAACACTCTGCCCATTGACTCTTCAAAGTTATGGTATTTTCTGAGCTTCTGGCCTTTTAAAAATACACTCCACCCAGCCTGGCGTTGGTGGTGCACGCCTTTAATCCCAGCACTCGGGAGGCAGAGGCAGGCGGATCTCTGTGAGTTCGAGGCCGGGCTGGACCGATAGCCTCCAAAACAATACAGAGAAACCCTGTCTCAAAAAACCAAAGGAAAACAAAAACCAAGAAATACACTCCACCCTATACGTTAAATTCTACAAATGAAGAGGAGGTGTATCGATCCCTTGGCACGTTTGAGGTCTTGGGCAGGCTTTTTAGCACCAAAAAAAAAGTGGAAGAAAATTAAATGCATAGGGCTCGGGGGTGGAGAAAAGAAACATTTTACAGCATTGCACCCAGGCTCTGAACCCTGTTTTGGGAAGTGAACCCTGGGGGTGCCTGGTCTACGAGTGAACAGCACCGGGCTCGAAGTCCCAGCCAGGTTACCTTGAGCTCGGGGTAGCTCAGCACCACCAGGGAGGCGCAGGCCCCGGAACTGTCCCCATTCACGAAGGACACGTCCACGCCCCCGACCCTCCGCAGGCCCGAGAAGGCGGGGTCCCGCTGCCAGGCCTCGGTGTCCCCGTGCACCACGCGCGTCTTCAGCCGGGCTTGCTCCCTGGCAGGACACAAACATCCAAACGGGCTCAGGGGCCTCGGGGCGTCATCTCGCCCCAAGCTGATCCGCTCCCCTTTCTGCCTGCCCATCAAGCCGGAACGAAAGAGGAACGCGCTCCGCAGGCCGGCGTGCGGCACCGGAAACCAGGGCAGGTTGCACCTTCCGGCAGCTTGGCGGCCGGCGCGCCAGTCGTACGGAGCGGCACTGGTGGTCAGTGTCGCAGCTGCCACGGGGGCCGTAAGGCAGGAAGGACACTGGAAAAGGCCACCCTCCACCCCTCCTCCGCTACTGCAGGACCCCGACCCCATTACCGTTCCCAGAGCAACAGTGTTTCCGCTGACGGCGGTTCCGCGGCCTTGAGGGCCATGGCCAAGGCCGCGGCGCCTCCCGCGACGTCACTTCCGGGGCGCCGCGAGCCGAGCCGTTAGGCTTCGCCGCCGCGGCGCACGCGTCAGTTGTCGCCGCCGCCGCCAGGGGCCGCTGTCACAGCAGTGCTGGACGTCGGGTTTGCCGCCGGGTTTCGGGGGGCGTGCGAGCTCTGCTCCGCGCTCTAGGCGTCTGCAGCCCTCTCGGGCAGCCTTGGCCCGGCTCTGAAAAGACGGGCGAGCGGCTGCATCCCCCGCACACCCCGAGCTTTGGGGCCCGCGCCGGCGCCGCCTCTGCGGGTGCGGGTCCGCGGAGTTCAGAGTCTACGGGAAGGGCCGCAGAGATTCTTCCTCAGTCGTGTGGATTGTGAGGACACGTCAGTCCGCGATTGTTGGGAACACTCGCGAAAGTGAGGCACACACCCCTTAACATTCCAGCGCTGAGGAGGCAGAGGCAGGCGGATCTCTGTGAGTTCGAGGCCAGCCTGGTCTACAGAGTGAGTTCCAGGACAGCCAAAGCTACACAGAGAAACGCTGTCTTGAGAAACCAAAAAAAAAAAAAAAAAAAAGGAAACTTGCTCCTTCGGCGAGGGTGAATGTGTAATGTGTGCTTCCCCCCCCCCCCTCCAGTACAAGTGTTTCAGCCCTGAAGGGAAGGGTATCGTGGCAGTTCAGGAGCCACGGAATGCCACAGAGTCACATCACACATAACAATCCCGAGTGGAAAGCCCAGGAGGGCAGCTGCCTCTGCCCCAGGGAGAAGCGCAGAGAAATGAACAGTGAGGGCAGGGTTTGTGTGGGGTTTCTGGCGGGAGGAGGGGAGGCTTCCCAGGGTGGCCTGATCTTGGGGCAAGCTCAGGGGTTGCTAGGATTTTTATTTTTCTTTAGGGAGGGGCCCTGACACTCTCCATCCTAAAGAAGCTGGGAATGGCTGTCAGTTAGAGACGTCCAGGGAGTGGATCCTGGCCCTTGGGGCTCCTCAGGCACCTCCTCTCAAGGGGTCAGGCCAGAATCGTCTAGGGAAGGAGCCAGGACTCCAGAGGTCTCCAGGGGCAGGGCGTAGGGCAAGGGACGCTGTCCCTAATAGCTGACACAGACCAGGGTGTGTATTAGTCAGGGTTCTCTAGAGGAGCAGAAGCTATAGAGCGAAGACACATACAGGAGGTTCAGAACTTACCGTGAGAGTGAGGGAGAAGCAGGCAAAACGCAAAAGCTTCGTCTTCTACGTCCTTTTATAAACGCTGTCACCAGAAGGTGTGGTCCACACTTAGGGTAGACCCCTGACCTTGGATAATCCAATCAAGGAAATCCCCCACAGGTGTGCCCCGATGCTTGGGTTTTAGTGGATCCAAGATCTAGTCAGGTTGACAACCAAGAGCAGCCACCATGGGGAGCCACCCCAAACAAACCTAACATTGGCTAACGCCTGATGATTTGACGCAGAACTGTAGTTTTTGTATTCCTAATCAAACTTGTCTGCCCCGTCAATTCCCCACTGGATGGGATTTAAGGGGTACAGCCTTTCCTGTGTCCTGTGTAGCCTCTTCCCCCAAATGTTCATTCTGTTGGTTCAGGACACAGAGCCTTATGTACTGTGTGTCCTGCCCTCTTTCTTCATATTTTATTTTATTTTAATTTGTGTAAGTCTGTGTCATGAGTGCAGGTGCCTGTGGCATCCAGGAGTTAGGTTCCCTGGGAGCTGGAGCTGCAGGAGACTAAGCCCCCTGACCTGGCCACTAGGAACTGAACTTGGGTCCTGTGAAACAGCAGGGCACACTTTGAGTTACTGAACCATCTCTCCAGCTCTAGACTACAGTCTTTTTTTTTTTTTTTTTTAACCTTAAAACAAGTTAAAAGAGCAAGCGGGCGCCAGCTGGAAGGGCGGGGCTTAGACCTCTTGCTTATTTATGATCTGGTAAACTTGAGCGAACCTGTGGCACTTCCTCCAGAAACAGATAGTTTCTTACACGAGTGCTCCTTCTTTCTCAGTTCTGGTAAGTTCTGGCACTGAGTTGGGAGCGGTAAGAAGGGAGGGAGGGTATGTGCAATTGTGCTGTGCTGGTGTAAGGGAACATAGTAAATACGGGAAGAGGACTTGGAACTGGAGGAGGGAATGGCCTGTGTGAGGTGACACTCGGGAGACCTGAAGGCTGCCACACTCCTCCCTGGACTTTGGCATATAATGGTTACTGGGGAGTGGACTGTCATTTTCTTCAGTGGTGTGGGCCACTGTTAGGTTACTCGTGTTTCTGTAAATAACCTCCCACCCATTCTTATGCAAGCTGCTCTAAGTAAGCTCAGTGCCCCCCCACACACACAGACACACACACAGGGAAGTAGGAGGGGACCTGTCGAGGGGAGGAAGGTGATGAGAGGGCAATGGGGATGATGACTGGGGTTTGCCATAGGCAGAGGGAAGGCCAAAGGAAGGGTGTGAGCATGAATGCGGCGGGCAGAGGGAGCAGGCACAGATGCCCAGGTAGGACGGCAGTGGGGCCGACGGCGACAGCGAAGGTTGGCATACAGTCCTCTAGAATTCAGGTGTACACCTAAGTCATGTAGCCCGAAAGATACATTTCACGAGCAAACTGCAAAAGACTAGATTAGACCAAACGAGTTTGTGGTTTGGGAAGGCTTCCTGTAATACAACTGACAGGACCCTGAAAGCCGGCAGGTTTTCAGCTGGGAGAGGAAGTCCCCATTCCTCCAGCACTCACTGAGGCCCAGACATTGTGCTATTATTTTCTACCCTGTGTTATCTTACCACAGAAATGGGAGGCATTTTTCGGAGGAGGAAACTGCAGTCTGAAGAGGTCATCAGGCTGGCAGACAGGAGAGCCAGCACCCATGCCCAGGTATGCTGGCCCGGCTTGGTTAGAGTGACCGGGGTAGTTTGGTGTGTGAGAGCCATGCATGCCAGTGGAGATGGGCAGAAGCTGTGGGTTCTGAGGCGTTATGGCTGAGGTGTGTGGATTCTGAACGCTTGCACCCAGGTTTACTCAGCAAGCCAAGGGAGCAGAAAAAGTGCAGAACGCAATTCAGACACTAGTCGCTGCCTGCCTGATATTGAGCGCCGGCCTTGGGGTTTGTCCTTCTGCCCACTGAACACTGTTCTCCAGGCTGTTGGTTCGGCAGCCTGACAGTCAACATGTTATCCATCTGTTGTGGAGCTGTTCGCTCCTAACTGAAACCCTGGCTCCTGAAGGGCAGTGGGAGGCTCAGGAGACACTTACTAGGCTCTGAGACCCACAAAGTCCCAAGACTTAGTAAGCTTGTCCCCGAGGTGGTAAGCAGTAATCAATTGCTGGGGGAGAAGAGACTTGTGGAGACAGCTGTAAGTTGGTCAGGGAGCCCTGGGGTTCAGCTGTGACAGCTTGTCTCCAAGCCCAAGTGGGCATTTCAGTGATGCAGCCTGAGTCACCCTGTACCTAAACTAGACTTGTTTGGAGCCATTTCCCGTGGTCTTTTCTCAAGTGTGTTGTCTGAGAATAGATGTTTGCTCACATCTCTCCAGGAGTCACACAGCAGCACCACATGAGGCATGTTGTCATGCATACATTGGTATACTGGAGACACCCAGACGTCGGTCACTTGTCTGACCTGGCTGAGCCCCCTGAGCCACTGCTTTCTCCGTGGTGACGGTTCAAATCAGTCCTACTTCCTGTTAGCAAGATCAGCTCATGGTGACCTCAGTTCCCACATGGCCCATCTGACAGGGGTTTAGGGAAGGCACAGAATCTGAATTACTTCTCTTTCCTGCCTTTATTTCCTATTCCTTATCCTTATCCAAGCCCAATGGGTCTCATCTCCATTTGCTGGTAACTGTTTTCAGTGAGGGTTCTTCTGGCAGAATCCTCTGAGACCAATAGAACGGTGCTGTCTCTATCATAAACAAGAGTCCTGCTGTCTCTTTGTTCTGAGGAAGGAAATAGGATTGGCAGCAAGTGCCCTTACTTGCTGAGCCAAGGACTCTTAGCAGTAAAGCTGAAATTTATTAACTGAGTATGACAAAAATAATGCAGTTTACTTTTGCCTGTGCTAGGTCTGTGTATGATGTACAGATATGGTAACACAACACAGACAGCTAAGGCTTAACAGCATAGCATACAAAATGGAACATCTTAATTAAAAATCCTTCATGACAGAAAAAAATGCCTAGGTCAAAGCCCCAAAAGGCCTTCACAGGAAGAAAATGTGGGACTGAGTTGCCCTCTGATGGTTAGGGCGAGTTAAACCCCAATCTGAGGTATCACAGGAGTTCCAAGGCCAAGTTGGGAAGTTCTGTGATCCCTGTACCCCGAAACATCCATCCCGCAGGAAGCCTGGCACGCAGACATCTGGGGACAGGTGTTCTTCACAGTTAGGAGTGAGAGTCACCGTGGCTGTGGATACAGTCTGCAGTGCTTACTGCAGGGCTGGTCCCTGCATCAGGCCTTGAGGAGAACATCAGAACAGAGCATGGTCCAGATCCACCTCGTGCTGGCGGTGCTGTGTCCATGGGTGTGGTCCTGATTGCCAGTCTGTATTTCTGCAGCTCAAAGTACATGGGCCCTAGAGTTCAAGTTTACTGTCTCCTCTGTGACGGGAGCACTTGTAAACACTGGCTGTTCTCACATCACTGCAGATGGTGGTGCGTGCCAGGAATAGGATTAGTCCAGAGGGATCAGGGGCACTAATGGATTGTTACACTGAAATCATCTGCTTTGGCCATCCGTCTGTTCTGTTTCATTGTTTGTCCCTTCCCCATCTGCAGTGCTGGGGAGAGAGCCCGGCATGTGGCATATGTATGGTAGGCAAGTACTCTAGCCCCTCCCTGTAGCCCGCTCTCCAGCTTACTCATTGTTCCCCGCTCCCAGTCTGGTGCTCCTTTGGCAGTGACTCATGGTGGGGCTGACATTAGCTCTTGTTCATGTG